TTGTGTACGCCGTTATATAAGATTACTAGCTATAGCCATAAACACCGTCATATTCGCTCACAAAAACGATTCCCATTACACTTACAAGTAATTATATTTATTTTCAGAAGTATAGCTTAACATTTAATTGCAAGACCGTGCGTAGCTTGAATTATTCTTTGACAAAATTAGTATAGTACTATTTTGGTTTGTGATTCATCTCCTTTCACACAATATCACAAAGAGGTAAACGATGTCATTCCCTGATCAATCTAGGGACGGGAAGAAGTTTTTACTGATTACTTTGTAAAATTAAAGTTTTTTTACCTTTTAGATTGTAATTGGTTCATGTTCAGGTTTTTTAATAAATATATCAATCATTTGAATGAATCTCCATACAATTTCTCGTGTGAGTGTTCAGTTAAAAATATGATGTCATTTCAGCATATTATTAATACAATTATTCATTTCGTTGATGGAGTAATTCAGTGTGCTCTAATGACCAATGTGCCAAAAATGAAATGGCAATTCACTTACAATCATTTTTGGGAGGAGAAGGGATTTCAGAAAAATAAGGGAAAAGGAAATGGGGGGTTCTTGAATTTCGAAAATGCATAATAAGAAAGTGTATATCAAGAAAGTGTGGAAAAGCTGTTTGAAGGGTAACTCTTCATCGTTCAGGGTTTTTTTAAAGATTGTTTTGGAGGAGCGCTTGAACTCCCTCCTGTAAGAAAAATTTCACTAAACAATCCATTTTCCAAAGTAAACAAAGTGAAAGCACAATGCGCGTTTACCCGTCTGACAGTAAACGCGCCGCCATTGTTCGGCCGCGCATTCGTGCACAAACACAGCGCGATGTCCTATCCAGTCTGTGTATATGGAGATTAATGTTTAAGACCAGCTAGCCATGTCTTTATCATCCGTTTAAGACCGGCCACGTGACGGGCTCTCGACCAATAGGAATAGCTAAACTGTCTGAGGTATTTATGAATGTATATTCATAAATACGTACACTCATGAGACCCCCCCCCCCACCCCCCTGCGTATCCTGATCCTTCGCAATTTAGACACACTGCATACGCATTACGCAAAAGAAACCACTGGTAAATATATATAGTACGTACAGCTGTTTATGCAGCCCTGTATAGGGCTTAATGATAGAAAGTACACAAAGGTTTGAGTATAATAATGTTATCTTTAAATGATTACATTAATCACGCAATATGGCAATTACGCTCTGTATTCAGATTCACAATGTCTAGGATAACAACATCTGCATGCAATCAATCAATTATTGCGTTTGTATGAATGTGTAACATTATAACTCGTACCCTTAGATAAACGAGGGGGAAATGGAAGCAAGAAATACTCAAATCAAAATCTAGAATCGAAAAAAAAACCAATGTTTGCTTCGTGGGGAGTATCTACACTGATGACGCCCGTAGGAATCGAACAAAGTTGGATTGTTTACCTTCGATCTCAGATCAAGTTGATTTACCAATAAATGGTTTGTAATGTATTTTTATGTACTAACTATGTATCATTGAAATGAATCAGTACAATATAAAATGCATTATGTTGTCCACAAACCTTATGCGCACAAGATAATTAAATTATGCTATGTCTCTTTTAAATGTTTTTGTCGTAGCGTATATACATGCGCTACGCTCACCTTGTTTCACATCTAAATAATGCCAACATTGATTTAATGTTCTTTCACCGAAAGCCATTAACATCTCTGAGTTTCTTGAGAACATTAATCTGAGGCTCACGGATCACTGTGCACTTTGAGTGCGTTCGATTACTTCCCCTAGCGTACTCGCGCCTGGCTCCTCGCGTGATGACAGACATGCGCAGTGAAGCTAAATAAACGAACGGTTTCGGGTAAAGTTTCGAGCAAGAGCTGGAAAGTTGAACTTTGACATGACACAGGCTGCCTCCGAATCAACTGTCTAGAGCTAGGTCTAGGTCCACGCCCATTGAAAATACGCGGGGATGCGCTGACGTAGCCGTAGCTCTGAAGTTCGTTTCGGACACGGCCTGAGGCGCCCGCGGGACGTCACGTTGGCAGCCATGTTTATTGCATGGCCTTATGGGATACTTACCCAAGTAACCGGTGGCTCGGCGAGTCAGTTACTTGGGCCAGGCTCGAGTAAGCGCGAGAAGTCACGTGAGAGGTAAATCAAATGCTGTCGCGCTTGCACGAGTAAGCGCGGGGGAAGTAATCGAACGCACCCCCCTTGTGATGTGTGATACATAGAGCACAGTCGTTGTGTTTAGCCTATAGCGCCGTAACGGTGACAGTCATTGGATGGTTGCAATTTTATCATTATAATCCAAGTTATTCATACATGTACTAAATACGACCAAATCCTTTAAAAGATGATATTTATAAATGTAATTAGTCGCCAAAATATATTGTATAGCCTTCAACGCTATTGTGATATTTAAGTGTTTTAAGCATCACATCCGTGTAATATAGAAAACATTAGTTAAATATCGTGTGTTGCACACTTAAAACATTCGAAACAATTATGTGTGTGTGAAACGATTATATAATGGTTGACTGGATGGTTAGATCACGTTTTTGATTGGCGAGGTTAATTCGATAACTAATTAGGTCTCGATCTTAACGTCATGCTTTGTTTCGAAAAGCTCCAGGAAAAGATTCATTTGATATTTCATCTTTATACATAATGTAATATATACTGGATGGCTGAGACCATACACCATTTTGTTTCGTATAGTTCACATGAATAAAGTCAAAATGCACAGTGCAAAATTTGCCAGCCACGATGTTGATGTATTATGCTTGTGAGAAGTTTCAGCCCCTCGTTTGTCCTGGAAATATGTTTTTTTTTCCGGAAACAGTTTTGCCATGTCAACATCGGTCGACGAACCGAAATCCCTTTCTGATGGAGTGCAAGCCACTGTAAGATTCGAACGTATTCACATGTAAATACATCTAATAACAACCCGGAAATCATTGAGTCAAATTGACGTCATACAGTAATTACTGCGCTCGCATCGGTCGATTGGTTTTACTTTAATTAGCAGCGGAAGACCTGACTGAGCAAACGAAGAGTTTTGTGCGAGTTGCTGAGGGATTGTAGGAGTGGTAGGCCTATATACAGCTATAATAATATGTCGCATTGCTGTTGCAGATTGGCGTTCGCGGCTAATTACAAGACAATTGCATCCTCAACAGTGAAAGGCTTACACTAAACTTTGAGAAGCGGCAAATCGCATGTTGGTTTTGCTCTTAATTCGTACCATAAACGGCAAGTTGTAAGAACAAGGGGGTGCGTTTATACAAGGAGGTATAACATGAAAATTATAGAAAGTACATTTCTGGTCAGCGACTTGAAGTCATTATTTAAAAGGGTGAGTTCGGTTTGTCCAACCTCCCCGAAGTGATAACAATTTGAATCATGGCATCTGGTGTACATAATATATGTGCTGCTATTTTCAAGAAGAGTGGAATTTTTGTATCAATTTGAAACGATGGTCGGCCGACCATCATTGAAAAAAACTGGGGGTTTTCTTCAAATATTGCCCCAATTTACCAAATTTAGTTAGTCCACATCTTGTTTGCAATCGGTTACAGATCTGTGAATGGATGTGCAAACCAGCTGGACTGGTTTCCTGACCTTACAATATTCTCCGATGTCTATAAATTGCGCCGTTTCATATGAAGTGGGGCCAGAGAACCAGACATTTTTTTCCAACATCTATGAACACAAAACTTTAAACAGGTCAGTGTAACAATATTTGCTATAAAATACTAACACCCAAATCCATCCATTGCTAAAAATTAAATTGGGGTAATATTTGAAGAAGAAAAAAACAGTTTTTTTCAATGATGGTCGGCCGACCATCCTTTGAAATTCCACTTTTCTTGAAAATTACAGCACATGTACACCAGGTGCCATGATTCAGATTGTTATCACTTCGGAGGAGGTTGGACAAACCCAACTTTTTTTTTATTTTGATAACAGATTTCTCCCCGGCCCGGCCCCACGAGCCATCGGCGAGAGCGCGCGCGCGAACGTGGAGGAAGGGGTTATCTGACACTAGGGGGCGCTCTCAATGTAAACCGGACTTGACCGAATAGAATTGTGCATTTTCTGAAATTTGTATCCACGTGGATTCATTTCTCTGTTCTCGTGTACTAAAGTTTTAGAATTTGAAAGTGTAGTTTCAAAATGCTCCTACTTTAACCAGAATCAATTTCCTGGGCTGAAATTCGGACTTAATATCCCTTACATAAATTACTCCAATTTGCGACGCATCAACACACCTCGGAAATTCCTAGTTTTTGAGTAAAATCCATATATCTTTTTCGTGATAACCTTGTGGAGACCTATAGAAATTGCACAGTGGAGACTACACTTTCAAACTCTAAAATTTTAGTACACGAAAACAAAGACATAACTCCACAAGGATACAAATTTCAGTATGGGTGTGGGTGTTATGGTGACATGCAGGTGTATAGGTAAGTGACATGCAGTTCATAATGTATATAGTTTTCCACAACGGGAATTTACTCCCGTATATCGGTAACATTGCGTAGGCGTTTCACGTGACCACCGACGAAGTAAAAGGTATAGATCCAGAGAAACAAACGCCCGTTCGTCTTTCATCCATTGTATGAAGCTGTGTTTCATAACCATACCAGGCAAGTTCCCTGGATAAAGCTCTACCGCACATCCACGCTGGCCTTGAGCAAGGAATCAATCTCCTGGCATTCTTATTATCTTGGTTCAACTAATCTAACGTTGCTTTGAAGGTTGGCCATTCTGTCGCTGTTGTTTACTCGCATCATTTTTCTTGTCCAATTATCTCCAACCCATTTAATTGACACAACGTCCCAGCAGACGGTCGAATGAAATCGTCTAGCGGCGGAACAATTCCCCGCATACAAAAGAACCATGGCGCGGGCATTCTTTTATACTGGCGGTTGTCCTGCCTCTAAACGAATTGATTCATCCCATTCAACGGATTATTCCGGTAGTATTTTTTTAGTGAAAACACAGTTTTCCCTCTAAAGTGTTATTACTTCGAAGTACCCGTCTTCCTTTGCAATATAAGACACGACGGTGTTCGGTGTTGCAGCACTAACGTTAGTCAAAGTCCGGAGCTGAACACGTTGCACGCGAATCTTTTGGGGGTTTTATCAGCAGCTAGCTCAAAACCGTCCGCTGATGCCGTCTTTAGGAATTCCTGCTGTTTTCGTATTCGCACATTTTTAGTTTTCATCTTCACTTCACGCATTGAACATTCCCTCACATTCAATTATTTTTTTCCAGCTAGATTTCATCAATGGAACAATAAAATGGCTTTCTTGACGCTTTGTATTTTGTTTTTGATGGCGGCAGGGCCATCAGCAGGTGGTAGCATACCAGATGCTGCCCATGTTAGCCTTACTAGCCCTGGGGATGTCATCCTTGGGGCATCATTGCCAATGCACGGATGGTTCTCCGGATCCGGGCCTCCGTGCAGCGGCTCGCTCGGTCGTTGGGGCAACGAGGTGGCTGCCTTGCTTAGGTTCGCCATCGAAGAGATCAACAATCGCACCGATCTCTTGCCCAATGTCACCATCGGCTACGACATTCGCGACAACTGCTACTCGGAGACCCTGTCGGTGTGGACGGCGCTCAGCCTGGCAAGCACATCCGAGAGACCCCAGGAGGATGTCGAGTTCACCAAGATCAGTCCGGCGGAGTACGGGAATCTTTTCTGCATCATAGGAACTCAATCGAGTGCCACTACAATTCCGACGGCGCAGGCCGCCAGCCTGTATCGCATCCCTGTCATCTCTCCATTCGCAACAAGCAACGAACTCAGCGACAAGCGCCGGTTCCCCTATTTTCTCCGCACGGTCCCTCCGGACAGCCTGCAGGCAAAAGCCATCGCCGATATTCTTCTACAATTTGGATGGAAGTACGTCGGTCTGTATTTCCAGTTGAATACCTACGGAATTCACGGAGCTCAGGCCTTGCTAGACCTCGCAGAGCTGCACGGCATATGTGTCGCTTTTTCCGTTCCCGTTCGGTCTCCGGGAACCAAGGCGGAGCTCTACGACGCCGTCAGTAGACTAGCTGCCTTCCCCAAAGCGCGAGTTGTGGTCATTATAAGTGAGGTCACAGCTGCAGGCAGCATCGTCAGAACAATCGAGGAACTCTTCGGTATACCTCACAATATAACATTTGTTGGCAGCGATGCCTGGGCATTTCCGAGTACAATGCATGCTAACCATGGCGTCGATCTGCGGGGACTGCAAGGTAGCATTTATGTGCAGCTTAAATACAATCAAATTCCTGGTTTCGAAGAATACTTCCGCTATATAGAGACAAGAGACGTAACATTCTCCTCGTGGTTTCAGGGTTTCAAGGATAAATGGATGAAGGACAATCAGTGCTCCGATATCGCTCTTTGTCCGATAAGAATTGCAGCCAATGACAACTTTTTGGTGGATGCTGTTTATGCATTCGCGTACGGCCTGCAAGACTTGTTGCGCGATCGATGTAACGACACCACCGACTGTAATTCCACGATTCAGGCTATAAGAGGACAGGATTTTCTACCCTACTTACTGGGTCTCCGATTCCAAGGACTTGCCGGGAAGTACGTTTTCGATGTAAACGGTAATCCCGGCGGAAAGTACAAAATACTTAACTACCAGTTCCAAGACGATGTCTTTCAAGTGGTTAGACTTGGAGAATGGGAGGCATCAGAGGACAGACGACTTGACGTGAATTTATCGGCTATTCAGTGGGTCGGAGGGTCACGAGACCCTCCTGCCTCGCTATGCCGAGAGATCTGCACATCGGGTCACATCGAGGTACCGTTGGAGGAAAAATGCTGCTTCGGTTGTCAACAATGTCCAAACAACGCCATTGTTCAAAACAACCTATGCGAACAATGCCCAGTGGATGAGTGGCCAGATGCTAGTTTTCAAGTTTGCCGTCCGATTGTGCCGACGCCTCCAAGTTGGAGCGAGCCCACAGTGGTTTCCATCCTGATCCTTTCAGGCCTCGGACTGGTCCTGTCCCTTCTTGCAGCGCTGGGACTCTTCCACTACCGGCACCACGTGCTAATCAAAGCCGCCAGCCGTGAGCTGAGCAGCATCAACATCTTGGGCCTCACTCTAGCCTTCCTTGCTCCATTCCCGCTTCTCGTACCACCTACAGCTGTCTCTTGCCGTGCCTCGGAGATCATCGTCGCCTTGTGTTTCACCCTGACGTACGCACCGACTCTGCTGAAGGTCAACCGGATCTACAGGATCTTTGACGCCGGCAAGAAGTCCAACAAGCCCCCTCGTTTCATGGGCCCTCGTAGTCAGCTCACAATTGTACTGGGCGTCTTTGCAGCAATGGTAAGTTGTTTTGTTCTATGCTTTCGAACAATCATTTACGGTTTCTTTACCACAATACATTCCCAGGCCCATAAACCATAGATATAGCCGCTGGAACTTGGTTAGGTCCGACCAGCAGCCAGGATTGTTGGTGTCTCAATAACTGAAACTCAAATAAGTGATGAACACGCAATACACGTGTTCTTGGCTTTTGTTTAATATAGACTGCTAACCCTTTGGCTATGACTCCTCTCTGGGTTTTTGTTTGAGTAATAAACCTTTTGTAACATTTTAGCCTCAATCGCATAGGCCTACTAATTATCCTTTGGCCGATTTGTGCGAAATTGTTTGATTTAAATTCAGTTTGTCTATTAAAGGGTCCAGCCACGGACCTCACTCAGTGTAACATCCCAGCGTGCACCCTTTCTCTCAGTTGCGTTAATGCCTGAATAGATTTCTGCAACGTACCCATACAGATACAGAAAGGGGCACTGCGTCCTGAAATCCCCGTAAATGTCATGCTTTGGATTGTTTAATTGTCCGATTTCAAACATCTGGTTGAAAGGAAACCAAACTTAATGTCTTAGCTTAATGACCGTTTCCGAGAAAAGACCAAAAAAAGAACCGGTTGTTTAGGGCCTACATCGGACACAACGGAGTAGGCATACGTTTTTCTTGTCGTTTCCATTCAATGTACGATACACGTTGTGTGTGTCACATAAATATTACACACAGCACCAATGCATAAATGAGGTTTCTTACACGTCCGCAAAAGGCTACAAAACGCGCTTTGAACGAAATGATGTTAATCCGAAAAAAAAACATTTAAAAGTAGGTTATAAACATCCACACAACTATCCTTAAAAAATTGGGCGTTTTGGTGTTATTCCTGCGTGTGTTAATTATGCGTGCGCGCGAGAACGACTTTCGGGGTCCACTTTTGCGACCCCAAAAAGTCGATCTGTTTGGGTGCTATAGTTGTGATTTCATCCGTAATGTATTTGCCTTTTGCGGACGTGTAAGAAACCACATTTGCGCATTGGTGCTGTATACGTACGTTATAATAGACATACACAACATACATACTGTTGACTGAACATGCTGAAAACGACAGGAAAAACGTAATCGTACTCCGTCGTGTCCGATGTAACAACCGGTATTTTCCGTCTTTTCTCGGGAGCGGTAAGACATTAGGTTGGTTTCCTTTCAACCAGATGTTTGAAAACGGATATGTTAACAATCCAAAACGTGACATTTTCGAGGATTTCAGGACCCCGTGCACCTTTAATCCTTTTCTTTACTTACAATCAAGTGGGATATTTCAAAATATGTTGGCATTTTCATTTTCGGAATATTTTCTACGGCAGATAGGTACAGGAATTGTGCCTTAGATGATACATGCATGTGGCGTTTGGCACACAGTCAAAGTATGCTTTAAGAAAGATATTCGGCTATAGAGAGGTACAAAAAAAGCAAGCAATGGTGTCCATTTTCAAAATGGCTGCCACCGCTTGTTATTTAATTTACTTTTATTGTTCACATGACAAATCTGCGATGACCCTTTAGCCGAATATCGCTCTTAGGACATACATTTTCACTGTGTGTCAATACTTGTATCGTCAAGGGTACAATTCTCCAAGGGTAAGCATTTTACCAATCTGCCCTCCAGTTTGCAAATGGTATGCATTACATTCAAAATGTGGAAATTGACTTAAGACTGTGGGTTTTTTTTCATATGTGACGTTGTCCTTTGATTCTAGGTTGTGGTTGCTGTCGCCGGCACATTAGCAAGTCCCACACTGCCAGCTAAGCTGATTTTCTACCCTCCGGCCGACTACATCGAAGCCTTCTGCAAGTTCGGCAACGGCTTCCTGGCTTCTCTGATCTGCAATCTCCTCATAGTCCTAGTCTGCTGCTACTACGCCTTCAAGGCTCGCAAGGTACCCAGCAACTACAACGAGTCCAAGTTCATCGCCATCAGCGTGTACTCCACTCTGGTCTTCGGCATGGCGGCCGTGCCCGTCTACATCACGGCGGCTACCGTTCTGCAGAAGGTTGCCACGCTGTGCGTTGCCATACTGCTCAACTCCTTCCTGACGCTGTTCTGCGTCTACCTGCCCAAGCTGTACGCCATTCAACTGGCTAGGGATGTTCAGGTGAGCGAATGGCGGGCCAACGACAAGTCCTCTAGCGGCACCGGATCGACTGGAGTTCAGTCAACTGTCGGAACTATCAAAGTACAGCCAGTTTCTGGTGCCGTGGGAATAAAGTAAAGTGTACAACATCATTGGGTCATAAAAAAATTAGCAACCGAGTACAAGTAGAAAGATAAAACATGCTTTATAAAAGCATTCAGTGAAAATATATCACATAAAACCCGTCTGAATAATTGAAGCTTTAATAGTTTGATGGTCTCCGAGGGTCACACTTAAAGCCTCCTTGAACCTGACTGACTGACTGACTGACTGACTGACTCCCCGTAGCATTTCGTGAAGTAGGCTACATAATGCATCAAAAGATATCAATTGACTATTCTGAATCCGATTGATGGCATTTTGTGCGGTCTAGGGGCAGCCTTATAGGCATGTCTTGTCTTGTGTTTATTTCTTTTCCAATGCTGGATTGACTCCTATTTTATTAAGTAAAACTGCAAAAACAGTTGTGGCAATTAAGCGCGTTTCTGTGTGGTTTTAACTTCGTGTGGCACAGTGGCAGGCAATTTACAGAAATTTCATGTAATCTCCAAGAAGGAGACAAAAGACAATTTGTTGAAATGTTCTAAGGAATTTCCATAAACTGTTAGGAAAATGTTTTTTCTTCTTTGTTAGGATTCCTTCTGTCTTTTTGTTTATTTGGTTGCCTCCAGATTGCCTGTGGAAATTGTCTCGTGTGATGCACACAGGTGTATATACCTATATCTACGTGACAACGTGTACATGAACACAAACAGCGCTCATGGTCTCGATAGGTCATTCGGGTAGAGAATTAAGTCGTGTCTTTCCATATTCACACTCAATTTAGCTCTAAGCTATACAATGAAATGATCAGCAAATGCTTGTAATTTGTAGGCCATACGAAACCAAGCCACCAATAGGGTTTACGACCGGTGAAAGCATGAAGTGGGTTCTTTTAAAAGCACGCATAGGAACATTTGCCATTACCTACATGTATATACGTACCTACCGGTTTAACGAAAAACTCTTTGCTCAAAGTGACCATAGAACTGGTGCCAAAAACCCCGTTAAATTATTCCGCCTGAAATGGTATCATTCCGAAGTTAACAATCATAGAAGGTGGTTTAAGAAAATGTGCCCGCGAACACAGTTTTTTTAAGTGCGTAATTACAATAGAATCCGTACAGATCCAACACCATTGTGCATACGTTTTCTATGTTTTCTCAAAATGCACAGTTAAGTATCCTCTGAGCTTAGTTGAAACTTCAACAAGTCCATGCACCCTTTGATCATGTTTATTGGTTAAAACGGAAAAGAAATGCCCAAAAAGCAAATTATCCTGTGTCCCGTTTATTCGGTTTTATTTTAAAACGGAGGGTTGTGAATTCTTCAAATACTGCTTTTATTCATACGCCCTAATATATATGCCTTTGTATCTAGGACCACACGCACCGACACGATTAAGACAGCTTATGTATTCAGATTCACACTATCCAGGATAACACCATCTGCTTGCAGGCAATTAATTATTGCGTTTGTATATAAATGCGTAAAATTATCATCTGTCCCCTTGGATAAACGAGGGGGAAAGCGGCAGGTAGTAAAGGGAGCAAGAAATACTCAGAATCAAAAGAAAAAAAAAAATGTTTTCTGCGTGGGAAGTAGCATCTACAGCTGATGCCCTTGTTAACAAAAAAATATTTTGCCAGTATAGCCGGTGGCAGTGCGTAGGCATCGAACGCGAACAAAGTTGCCTTCGAGCTCAGATGTTGATTTACCATTCAATGCTTTAATGCATTTTAGCTTAGATGTTACAATATTATATTTTATGTGCTAATTATGTACCAATGAAATGAAACAGTATAATGCATTATGTTGTCCACAAACCTCATGCACATAAGATAATTCAACGTTCAATAATTATGCTATGTCTCTTTTGAATATTTTGTCGTAGCGTATATACATGCGTTACGTGCACCTTGTTTCACATGTTACTAATGCCAACATGGATTTAATGTTCTTTCACCGACAGACATAAACATCACTGAGTTTCTTGAGAACATTAATCTGAGGCTCATCGATCACTGTACACTTTCCGATGTGAGACACATTATAATCCAACTGATTCATACGTTGTGATGTACTAAAAACGACCAAATCCTCTAAAAGTAATATATTTATAATTGGTCGCCAAGTTGTATCGTATAGCATACAACGCTACTGTGATATTTAAAGTGTATTAAGCTAACAATTGTACAACCATGCAATAACGGAGTCTTATATAGCGCACGTATCTACCAACAGTTAGGTACTCAAGGCAATGGTAATGTAGAATTAGTTACATATCCGTGTGTTGCACACTTAAAACATTCGAAACAATTATGCTAGTGTGACACGATTATATAATGGTGGACTTGATAGTAAGATCACGATTTTTAACTGAGGTGGGTCTCGATTCGTAAGGTTCTGTGATACATCGTGTGTTGCACACTTATATTCAAAATAACTACGTTAGTGTGAAACAATTATACAGAGTGAGTCAAAAAAAGCGGAACCCAAACCCTCCCAAAAAATATATTTCATATTTTAAAAATATGTAGCACCAAAATTAATGACTGGAAATCCAATTTCAAAAGCTACTTTTAGATGAAAAAGTTACTGAAATTGCTCAATCCGTTCAAAGAATATCATCATTTTAAACGCAATGACCCTGAAACCTGTTCTGTCAAAAAAAACAATTAATTGTGTATTCTGACTGTTTGGAACAACAAAGAAAATGACACAGAATACTTGTTTCAACAACTTTGTCAACAACTGTAATACACAATATCTTTATTAACAACCCCGGTTAGGTTTTTTTTTTAAACACGGGCCTTCAAAGGGACTTCGTTGAATATTTGTAACTTTTAAACTGAGGGTTTATCGCCGGTGATGTTTGAAGACAAATGTGACGACGCTTCTTGAAATCGCACTTTTGGCTGAAAGAGATTTTAGGGTCATTGTGTTTATATGGTGATATTCTTTGAACTGATTGAGCAATTTCGTTATTTTTTTCATCTAACAGTAGCTTATGAAAATGGCTTTCCAGTCATTATGTTTGGTGCTACGTATTTTTTTAAATATGAAATATAATTTTGGGGGTCTGGGTTCCGCTTCTTTTTGACTCACCCTGTATTATGGTGGACCTGATGGTTGGATCACGACTTTTAATTGGCGAGTTTAATTGGAAAACTGTTGGGTCTCGATCTTAACGTCATGCTTTGTTTCACAGAGTTCCCGAAAATGATTCATATTGATATTTCATCTTAGGCTACACTACTGTATGTCTAAGAACATACATCATTTTGTTTTCGCAGCATCCTGAATCATGGCACCTGGTGTGCATGTGTTGTCATTTTCAGAAAAGTGGTATTTTTGTATCAATTTCCAATGATGGTCAGCCGCGACCATCGAAAGAAAAAACGGTATTTTTTTCTTCAAATATTGCCGCGAATTTACCAAATCTAGTTAGTCCATATTTTGTTTGCAATCGGTTACACATCCGTGAACGGGTATGCAAGCCAGCTAGACTGTTTTCCTGACCATACAATATTCTCCGATGTCTGTAAATTGCTCCGTTTTATCTGAATTAGTAGGGCCAGAGAACCAGACTACAATAACAGCATTTATTCCAGCATCTGTGAACACAAAACAGGTCAGTGTAACAATATTTGCTTTAAAATACTAAAGCCCCAAAATCCATCCTTTTCTGAAATTTACAACAAAACAAATGTTGTATATATGTTCTTTACACACCCGCGGCAGACCATGGAGGAAGGCAGTGTAATATGAAGTTTTGGAATCTCTTATAAGTGGCGCTATAGAAGATAAAAAAAAAATCTTCGAAAATTCGTTCTGGGGAGGTTATGGTTTATACATATCAGGATAAACCATCTTAAAAATCGTTGAAAACCACAATATCCAGCGAGATATGCTTCGCAAATTCGAATCCAGCTAGATCATTTTCTTCGGAAACAGGATTTAAGCTTTTAAGTATGGCGGCATTTTCTTTCTAATTATTTAGGCAAAATGTCACGGCCGATGTACAGATCCTTTGTGACCTACCTCCAGCATCAAAACCCTGGTATTGAATATGCTCCTTATAAAGTTAAAGGGATTTCATAATATGGCATGTCTATGGCGACACACGATATCATCGATGTGTATGGCGCGTGTGTGTCACATGCAGGTACATAATGTATTATATTTTTCCACCTATGTGGAATTTACTCCCGTATATCGGTGACACTGCGTAAGCGTTTCACGTGACCACGGACGAAGTAAAAGGCACAGACAGAGAAACAAGCGATAGTTCGTATATCACTGTATGAAGTTGTGTGTCACAACTATTACGTTCCCTGGATAACTCTACCGTAAACATCTTGGTCCATGCTGGCATTGAGCAAGGAATCAATCTCCTGGCATTCTTGTGATGTTTTAACTACTCTGGAATTGCTTTTGAGGTTGGCCATTTCTGTCGCTGTTGTTTACTCGCATCATTTCTCTGATTAACTGACACAAAGGACCAGCGGACGATCGAATGAAATCGTCTAGCGGCGGAACGATTCCCTGCATGCAGAGAAAAAACTACTGTCCGGGCATTCTTTTATACTGGCGGTTGTCCTGCTTCAAAATGAATTGATTCATCCCATTCAACGGGTTCTTCCGCTCAGTATTTTTCAGTGAAAACACAGTTTTTCCCTCTCAAGTGTTATTCCTTCGAAGTACCCGTCTTCCTTTGCAATATAAGGCATGACGGTGTTCGGTGTTGCAGCACTAACGTAAGCCAATGTCTGGAGCTGAACACGTTGCCCGCGAATCTTTTGGGGGGTTTTATCAGCATCTCAAAACCGTCCGCTGATGCCGTCTTCAGGAATCCCTGCTTTTGCGTATTCGCGCATTTTTAGTTTTCATCTTCACTTCACGCATTGAGCATTCCCTCCTATTCAACTGTTGTTGTTGTTTTCAGCTAGATTTCATCAAAGGAACAATAAAATGGCTTTCTTGACACTTTGCATTTTGGTTTTGATGGTGGCAGCTGGGCCATCGGCAGGTGGTAGCATACCAGATGCAGCCCATGTTAGCCTGACTAGCCCTGGGGATGTCATCCTTGGGGCATCATTGCCAATGCACGGATGGTCATCCGGGCCTCCGTGCAGCGGCTCGCTCGGTCTTTGGGGCAACGAGCTGGCTGCCTTGTTTTGGTTTGCCATCGAAGAGATCAACAATCGCACCGATCTCTTGCCCAATGTCACCATCGGCTACGACATTCGCGACAACTGCTACTCGGAGACCCTGTCGATATGGACGGCGCTCAGCCTGGCAAGCACATCCGAGAGACCCCAGGAGGATGTCGAGTTCACCAAGATCAGTCCGGCAGAGTACGGGAATCTTTTCTGCATCATAGGAACTCAATCGAGTGCCACTACAATTCCGACGGCGCAGGCCGCTAGCCTGTATCGCATCCCTGTCATCTCTCCATTCGCAACAAGCAACGAACTCAGCAACAAGCGCCGGTTCCCCTATTTCCTCCGTACGGTCCCTCCAGACAGCGTCCAAGCAAAGGCTATCGCCGATATTCTTCTACGATTTGGTTGGAAATA